TATCAGCTTTCAAAAAATTTATCAGTACATAAACCCGTTATCAAAAAAATTATTTATAAGTCTTTATGCAATATATCATTTATCTTTATATGTGATTGACATAATTTCTTTCTTTTGAACAAAATCAAAGAAAACCAACGAAACATTCGGGCCAAACAACAATATCACCATCAGACAATGAGAAAAAGATATACAAATATAAAGTATGAGCTTGTATGTATTCGTACACTTGTTTTACACTTATTACTGAATATTTATGAACATTCATTTCATACATTTTGATTCTTATATTACGATAATTTAATAGGAATCAGCAAGCTCTGGCATTGAAGTTTCTAGATGGGATGTTTGGAAACAAAGACATCTATGAAAGGATAGATCCTTTACAGATGAAGCAAATGAATAAATGACAAAAAAGATTATATGTATAACTATTTTTTTAATATCATGTATGATTGACATTGTGGTTGTATGCATGATTGTATACTAGCTTGTATAGATTTGTTATTGCAGCTCATCTTATTATTGTCTTCCAAGATGATTATGCTGCCAAAGTCAAATCTAGTGAACTGACAACCTAGTATGGTGAAGATTTATTGTCTTTAGCATTAAGAGCTAAAAAAAGGCTCGGTCGAGTTTGTGGGGTTGGTAAATTTATCTTGCCATCAAAGTTTTTTAGTAATCAATCCAAAATCTTACGAATGATAAATGCACAATATGAAGCAATCATTGAGCAACAACAGCAACGACTTGATGACCAGGAGCAATGCTTCAATGAGCAACAGCAAAGACTCCCTACTTTGGAGGCCATGTTGGCAACAATGCAGTATAGCATACTAGTAGGCTAGTCTAATAGCATCATTCATGTAAGACAAGATTTCGTTGCAAGTTAGGTAGTGAACCCAACCTCCGCTACCACTCATGAAGTATGATTTTGTTTATAAGTTTAATATTAATTTGTTTATTATATTTATTGATTTGATTTTAATACTTATATTTCATTAAATATTGCAGCAGGATGTTGGCACTAAGAGTATGACCCTTGCTCAGGCTACCATGGATGAGCTATCTAATTATTCACTAGAGCATTTATCTGAAGAAAACTTTATAACCATTGAGTCTGAGGAATGGTTATTTGATAAACCATTATTTTCTTTCATTAGTGTGGATGAGGTTAAAGAATTTTGTGAACTAGATAAATTATCAGTTGTTGATATTATTACTTATATAAGGTTAGCTTATAAATACAAATATGCACATTCAATATGTATTATAGTGTAATACTAACTAGCATTGTTGATTATTATCATGCGACTTCCTATATAGAGAGCATAAGGGAAGACAATTGACCAATGGATTTAGATTTATTAACCCAACTTCATTAGTGAACAGAGTGACACAATCGTTTATCATGCTAATCACGTGATTGAATGCATGAAAAAATTGGCTAATTATTATTTACTCCCCGTATAATGCGTATTAAGTTATATTCCAACCTTAATTATTTCAACTTTACCCAAATCTGATTGATGCATAATCTGATTATATCATTGTTATTATTTTGTAATCATCATTAGGTGTTTATTGTGATTAACACCAAATCCTTAACGCCATACTTACTTAATTCAGTTAATGCAATGGCAATGCCTAACCCCGATATTCAAACTTTTATAAAGAGGAATTACACTTTATTATATTATATATTTTCTATTTCTTTATAAGTAATTTTGTTTATGTATTAAGCAATTTTTTTCTTTTCAATTTAAGATAATATCTGCATTCGATAAGAAGGCAAATAAACTGAAATAGGTGTCATTATTGGTAAATGTAAAATTTATTCTTTTATGCTGAGTTTATGTAGATAAATATTTTTTAAACCCACTCAATTTAATTTTCAGGTACATTGTTAACTCGATAATACTGAATATGGATATTATGTCCTTCGTTTTATGCGGGAGATAATATAATTTTATGATCACACCATTCAAGGTTAGTATAAATTTCATAAACTCGTTATATCTTCAAAAAAATAAAAAGCTAAATTATGTTTTCATTTATTAACATTTACATCTGATATTTTTTTTAATGGGAAAGTAAAGAAAGTTTCACGGTAGAAGAACTGGATAAAGTCTGTAAAGAATGGTGTGAGTATATATGATCATTTATCAATGTTGATAAACTTTGAGATTAGACATTGTTGGTTGAATGTAAATATATGAGGAATAAATTGTTATAATGTTTTTAACATGCCATGTTGAATGAAAAATTTAAGTTTGTAGATTGGGGTATTGATTTAATATTATTGGTATACTTAATATGAATACCTATATGTACTTAATATATTATTGAGTACGATTATTTCAAAAAAGTATATTAATATGGCAATGTTATTAGTTTTAAATTTGGATGTGTGGTCAATTTATTGAAATATAACAATATTCATTATGTAAATTCTAAAATATAATTCGTAGTATCACATATATAAATCAAATTTTTTTTGGCATAAATATACAACTGACTTCAAATATTTTCTGGGCATAAACCTATAACTGACTTGACATATACAATATCAAAAATGTCTTTCTAATGGCATTAATGAAAGCAGTTTTTAACCAAAATCAACTTTAATAATCCTACCTAAAAACATATTTTGTGGAATATTAAAGACGTTTTGGGACAAAAATATCTTCAAGAATCCGTTCTAAATATTGTGTATAGATTATTGAAGGTATTTTTTATAAATATCGCTTTCAATAATTTTGTTAAAAATTTATTGATTGGATTATTGAATGTGCTTTCATCCAAAAACGCCTTCAATAATCCATTCCACATTTTTCTTATGGATTATTAAGGGCATATTTAGCAAGAAAATGCCTTAAATAATCCATAACAAAATGTTATTGAAGACGTTTTTTTACCAAAATCGTCTTTAATAATCCTACCTAAAAATTTATTGTGCGAAATATTAAAAGCGTTTTGGACAAAAAATACATTCAAGAATTCATTCCAACTTTTTTATATGAATTATTGAAGGTATTTTTAAAAAAAAATCGTATTCAATAATACCAACGAACATTTAATTGAATGAATTATTAAATGAGCTTTTAGCCAAAAACGCCTTCAATAATCCATAACAAAACATTATTGAAAGGCGTTTTTGAAAAAAAATTGCCTTTAATAATCTGATCATTCAAATTTATTATATGAAATATTAAAGGCGTTTTGAGCTAAAAACGACTTCAAGAATCCATTCTAACTTTTATGTATGGATTATTTAAGGCGTTTTTGACAAAAATCACCTTTAATAATCCAAACTAAAAATTTATTGATTGGATTATTGAAGGCGAGTTAGGCCAAAAACGCCTTCAAGAATGATTCTATATTTTTTCTATGGATTATTAAGGGCATTTCCCTACTAAAAACACCTTCAATATTCTCTTCAAAAATTTTTAAAGCAATTGATGAAAGCGTTTTTGTTCAAAAAATGCCTAGAATAATCAATTATAAATAATCTCTGCAAAAACCCAAAAAAAGCTAAAAAGAGTGATCGAACCTATCACTTATGGTTAACATTCGTTCGATCCTAAAATTTTGATATGATATTTATTGAAGACATTTTGACAAAAAACGTCTTCAATAAGCTTGTGAAATTTTTTTGTGGAATTATTAAAGGCGTTTCTTGTAAAAAACGCCTTCAATAATTGCACATATTTTTTTATAAGGGGATTATTGAAGGCATTGTCTACCAAAATACCTTCAGTAAATCCCTATCAATTTTTTTAACGGGATTATTCAACCCGTTTTATGCCAAAAATACTTTTAGTATTCACTCAAATTTTTAAAACAAGATTATTCAAGGCATTTTAGTCGATAAACGTCGCTAATATCAAGTATTGGATGACATTTATAAGTAACAATGTCACTATTTGAATATTTAGTGACGTTTTGATAATAAATGCCTTAAGTTTTATAAAACCACAGAAGCTAACGGCATTTATAAGTGAAACGTCGCTATAAAACTGCCGCTAATCTTTTATTTTCTTGTAGTGGTGATATGATTTGAATGAAAAAATAAATAAATACTTATGTGGAACCTATTACCCGAGTCAATCTAAAATTTACAAAATTTCCAACATTCTTTCACTTATATATGTATGTATGTGTGGAGAGGGAGGGAAGAGATCAATTTATATTAATATAAAACTTTTTAATTCTATATTTTTTTCTAACCACTGATTTTAATTAATTAAAACATAAGAAGACAAGTCAAAAAAAGTTTTAAAAAATAAAATTAATGATTAAAAAAAATATAAATTAAAATGTTTTATACTGGTATAAGTTAATCTTATCTCTATATATATACTTGTGGGGTTTTTTTAGGCCACTTGGTACGTTGGTCGGTCGCCAAAGGAAATGTGTTACATCTTGGCGTAAGTCTATATTGAAGCAAACCCTTTTGAAGGCATGTCACACAAAAAAAAATTTTTTTTGCACAACTGAAACATCATTCAAAAAACTTGGTATTAGCACACTATTATTTTTAATTTCTCAGGGTAAAATTGTTAGATTATCTTCATATAAGTAGAATACAATTTGTTTCTCTTTGAAATCAATTCTACAATTAACTTTACTCTTTTTAGATTAAAAAAAAGCATAAATTTCACCCTTTTTATAATTTATATATTTTATCAGATAATAATCCTTATACCAAATATGCAACCTTACCAAGAAAATAAAATGTGGCTTCCTTTTAAACTTTTATTTCTTTTGAGTTTTGGGCCTTTTGGGTTTGGGCTCATATTCTTTTAGGTACTTGCAGTTTTGCAATTAACCAATGTGCCGTACAAACCGCATATGGCGCCAAGTATTTCCCGCCAAATGCCAATACGTCTTCCTCGGTACAAAACCTTAACCACCAAGAAACCAAAGAATCCACAAACAGAGAATTGAAAAAAAAAAAAAACTACAAACAACAGGAAAAGCAAGAAAAAAAAAGGAAAATGGTGAAAGGAAAGCAGTACTGGCTGCTGAAAACAGAACCAGGAGAGTGGTCATGGGAAGACCAAGCGGCAAACGGAGGTGTAACCAAATGGGATGGTGTCAAGAACAAGCAAGCCCAGAAACACCTCAAGTCCATGAAACTAGGCGATCTCTGCTTCTTCTACCACTCGGGCGCCAGTGCTCGCCGGTTGGTGGGTGTGGTCAGCGTGGTAAAAGAGTGGTACTCAGAGGGCATTGATAAAAACAGTGAGGTGGTTGTGGATGTGAAAGCGGTTGGGGAGATGAGGAGGCAAGTGGACTTAAAGGACATGAAACAGGATGGGGAGTTGAAAGGGTTTGTGATGTTTAGACAGCCGAGGTTGTCGGTTATGCCGGTGCCTGAGGAGGTTTGGAAGAGGATTTGTGAATTGGGAAATGGGTTTGAAGGGGATGGCATTGGCAAGGATGGTGGCGATGACTGATGAGGAGTAGCATATGGGTTAAAGGGGCTAGAAATGATCAAGAATATGGGTGTTTTTGGTAAAGAGAAAAGAAAGAAGAAAGTGTGCTTGATTAGATTGTAGCTAACCATGTTGAATTAATGAATTAAATATGGATATGTCCTATATGCTTTTTTTGTTTGTTGTATTTTGGTTTTACGATAGTAGAATTCATACTATTGTTTTGATAAGATTTAGACCAAGAAATTCCAGTTAGGTGCAAAGGACACAAAAAGAGCAATTGAGCAGATAAATTTGGCTACTAAACATCCAATTTCCTACTTTGTTCTGCTACATTAAAAATTATTTTTGAAGTAATGGTTCGGATTTGGGCATAAAAAATAATCATTCGGAAAAAAATGGGGGGAAATTTGAGAAGCATGGTGGTTGGTTTCTTATTACTAGTCTACTAAGTAACTTCGCTCTGGCATTTTGGTGAACACTTACCGTGACGAACCGTTAAGGACAAAGAAAAAGAACGTCGCCGTATCAGCAGGTATTATTGCTTCCAGCTTCTTCTGAAAACCCAAAATCCACGAAAAGAGAATTGCCGATATCCGTGGTGTTTTTCCAGGAAAAAGTAAGAAATCGAATTTCTGAGAAAGTAAACGGAGCCAAATTTTATTTTATTTTTTCTGTTTGTTGCTATGAAATGCAAACCATGGGACCTGTACGACCTTGATTCACGGAGCCATTGAAGCGTCCTTGGCTTACCAGTCCATTTAACTTGAGAGCATTCTTGTCTGCACCTCCTTCTGATTACTCCAACCAGTCTCGCGGTGGCCTTCCTCACTTCTTCTCCGAACTCTTCCTTCTTCCAAGATAATCTCTTCTCTTTTCAACGTATTAATTTAATTTCTCAGGCAAAAGTCGAAATCTTTATCCAGTTGTTAGCAAATGGGCGGTGTTATTGCGTACAAGAAGATTAATTTTGGCATAATATGACTAAAGTTTTAAGGTTGAAAACTGACGACAAGTACTCCTTTCATCCCTCCATCAAACAATTCCATTTTTCCTCCAAACTTTGGTATTTGATTTAATATTTATTTAAGAGTTAATTTTAAATAAAGATAAGTTTCAAACTTCCATCGCTAGGTAAAGGCCAAAGGGCTCCTATAAATCTCTCTTTCTGACTAAACTTAGTTGCAAAATCCAGAGATAATTTTTTTTTTTTGGTACAAAATAGTTTTGAAATTTAAACTTTAAGATTTGCTGAATATCATTTTTTTTAAGTAACGGCATGAAAAACTGAACATTTTTGCTCTTCTTTTGTTGTTTAATGTATGTTTGTTAACTAATTTTGCAAGTACATGATCAGAACAGTTTTCTGTTGACAGTTGAATGCCAAATTGTTCATGCTTCAAAGATTTGACTTTAAGAGTACTATGAGATAATAAGCAGGTCGGCTTCAAAACAAGGCCGAAATACCAAGTTCCAAATATTCTTTCTCCACCATCTTTTCAATGGACTCGTTTTTAGCATTCAAATCTTCCTTCATGCTCCATCCAAAATTCAAGCCCAACAAAAACATTGAAAACCCAACTCTCCTCTCTCTCTCTCTCTCTCTCTCTCTCTCTCTCTCTATATATATATATATATATATATGTATATGTATACCCAGCTTCATTCTCTTCAGCACCCAGTTTCAATCTTCCAAGTTCCTCTTGGCAAATCTTTTTTAACTTTATTTCCTGTATCAGTACAAGGGCTTTGGTAACAAAGAGTTAAAGGTTACAGAAATGAGGAGCAAAGCAGAGTTACAAAGTAAATTCAAGAACTACATGACAAAGCCCATGAGCAAGGCAGAGTTACAAAGTAAGTTGAAGCACTACATGTCAAAGCCCAAGAGAGCTTTACACAGGGCAAGAGACTTCTACGTGAAGAGCATGGAGGAATGTGCTAGTAAGGTAGGTTATGGTGGAGTTATTGGCTGCCCTGCTGCACCTCAAGCTTCAAGATTGCCCAGGTGTTTCAGTGTCAACTATTCAAAGCCGAAAAATGAAGAGAAATTCATGAATTTCTTAGAAACAATGTCGAAGAAGAGATCAAAGGAGTCAAATTTGCAGGAAGAGGAGATAAGGGATGCAATGAAAGATCAGTATGGTGGGTTGAAGAGAAGTTTCAGTACTAGCGTTGGCCTGGCGAGAATTGATGAGGACAAACCCTGCTACTTCGAAGAAGATGCGTTGCATGCCAGAAGCAAAAGTTATGCTTACAAGAGATACTCTTATTATTGAAGGTTGAAGGATATGAAAGCTTGGATTTCGAATAGATCGAAACCAAGTGTCAGACGCATTAAATTAAACGCATTAAAAGGTTTTTTTTTTTTTTTTATTCAAAGAAGATATCGCCTTATTACATTAAAAGAGTCAAGAAATAGCTTGATTCGAATCCAAATTTTAATATTTTTCTTAAGGTTTTTTGTCACAAAAGTCAAAAAACGAAAGACAAAAATGTAAAAGTTTGTGGGTGTGACTTCTTTCTTCTATTAACCTATTATGTTATGTATTTTTTTCAGTTTCAATTGATGTTACTGTTAACCCCTTCGGTGAAATTGAGATGTTAATGAACTCCAAATTCCACAAATAGATTTTTATTTAATTTTTAAAATGGTAACTTGAAAGGCAATGATGTGAGCAGCGAGAACAACTATGTCTATTAATTTTAGATTATTTTATATAAATTTTTTTAAATTATTTAAATTTCACTCCATTCGATTCAATTAAATTTAAATTTAAATTAATTTAAGTTGAATATACTTAAATTCTTAATTTTTTTATTAAATCAAATTTAAATTCAAATAAATATTATAAATGATTCACTTTCTACACTTCTATTTGTCACTCAATATTATTAATATATTTCTCACTATAAATTTTGAGTTTTTTTTTTATTACTTTTTACTAATTTATTGATCATAGAAATTTAAGATAAAAACAAAATTGTTGTTATGTTATGAATAATTGCTATATTTATGGTTGTACTTCAATTTCATTTAAAATCACTTTATATTTTTAGTTTTATTAAATTTCAGATAAAATTAATGAATTATATAAATCTATCACTTGCATGAAATATTCGTAAAATATTTTAATTTATTTTTTTATCTAAAAATCACCAAAACTAAAGGGTAATGATAAAATTTAATAAATTTTTTAAATTTAATAACAAAATTCATCTTAAATTATGGTATAATTGGAAATTTGACTTTAACCCTTAAATAAGAAATAATCCTGATTTTCCTTTGTTTTATTTGGATTGGATCATTAATGCCGGTCGAATCTTTTAGGAGCCGTGAAAAGCTATTTATCAAGAAAAAACGCGTTTTAACTTCAAGGGTTCATTTTCTATATAGATAAATAATAAGTTAATAACTACGTGTTACTGCTCATTGCAAAGGACCACTGCTTTTCTCATGTTCATTCATGGACAAACAATACAAACGGCACTTTTCTTGCTATTAACTTCCGGTTACGAGTGACCCCTAGAGAATAAACTCCAATGAGAACTCAGCCTACACCGCCACCGCCCAAATCCGAAGACGATCCGGACGTACCAATTCGCCCCACTCCAATCCCGAATCAAACTGTCACCTCCACCGTCCCTGGTCATCGGAAAAAAGGGACCGGTGTCCGGGCATGGCTTCTACTGGACTCGACCGGCCATACCCAGATGGTGGAGGCCGGAAAGCATGCTATAATGAGACGTACGGGGTTACCCGCTCGAGATCTTCGGATATTGGACCCGCTTCTGTCGTACCCGTCGACGATTCTGGGTCGAGAAAGGGCGGTCGTGATTAACTTGGAGCATATAAAGGCAATCATCACGGCCCAAGAGGTTTTTCTGTTGAATTCCAAGGATCCTTCGGTTACGCCGTTTGTTAATGAGCTACAAAGGCGGATTTTTTGTCATTATCAAGCAACCAAAGCCCAGGTTTTTACGTATCTTTGTTTAATGGATTTTGTTTTTTGGGTTTTCAATTTAGGGTACTTTTTTTTCCTGCTTTGTTAAAATTATGTATTCATTAGCCTTTTTTTTTTTATGGTTGTTATTCGCTTTAGGAGGGCGCTATTGATGATTCGAGCTGCATAATTCGAAGTAGTTCTCAAAATTTGTCAGCAAGGATTTCACAGCCTCGGAATCAAGATGAGGAAGGTAAGGCAGAAGAGAAACAGGGTCTTGAGAACCCAAATGGATCAAAGATTCTCCCATTGGAGTTTGTTGCATTAGAGGCATGCCTTGAAGCTGCTTGCAGCTGCTTAGAAAATGAAGTTAGTATTCTTCCTCTCTTTTAATTTGCCCTTGAACTTTTTTCACCATCATGTTGTTTTATTCATTATTTATGGTCATTGTTTTGTACTGCCAAAGCAGGCAAGGACATTGGAGCAAGAGGCTTATCCAGCCTTGGATAAATTGACCTCAAAGATTAGTACTCTCAATTTGGAGCGTGTTCGCCAAATTAAAAGCCGGTTGGTTGCAATAACTGGGCGTGTTCAAAAGGTTCAGTATTTTAAGCTTTTGAACTGTTTGTGTTTTCATTAGTTCTCATGTCAACTGTTTGACCTAAAAGCTCTTATGTTGTTGTGGATAGATTTAATTTTTAGTTCAGATGACATCAGCCAATTCAACAATTCTCTTGTTTCTAATTCCATCTTTTGTTTCTTTATTTTTCTTCTACTTTTAATTTAAATTAAACATATAAATATACTCATCTTCAGGTAAGGGATGAATTGGAACACTTGCTAGATGATGATGAAGATATGGCTGAGATGTATTTAACTGAGAAACAACTACTTGAAAATTCTTCAACCTCTTCTATGAATGAGAGAGATGATATGGATGAAATTCTTCAACCAGACATGGATGACAGGCACTAAACAATTTCACCACTCAAATTTTTTCATTAAAGATTCCCTTTTTTTCACTACATTTTACTTTCCGTCTTCTGCATCTCAGGACACCTGCTGAAATCTCCTTGGCAACCAATTTTCAAGGTGATAATTTGTTTGGTGCTCCTAATGCAATTGGCAGAGACAGCCATGGAACTCGTACAAGTACCACTCGCAGTACTATCAGCAAGCGCCTTGATGTAGAGGAGTTAGAAATGCTCTTGGAAGCATACTTTGTACAAATTGATGGTACACTGAACAAGCTATCCACGGTATATCACCTGCATTTACCACTTGATTACTATCTCCTTTGTTATTATCTAATAACTCGGACATCGTTCAGCCTCCTCCTTAAGGAACTTGATTCAATATACTGGTCCAGCTTTAAGGCAGTAATCCTAGAATCCTAGCTGAGTTCATTTTATGGACTTGTTAGTTCACTCAGAGTGGATGATATTGATATATGACTCATAAACTTTTCTTAGGAAAGAGATGGATAAAATAATGCAAGGGATATGCCAATTACTTCAAATACGGTTGTTTTATGAATATTTTTTTTCTTTTTTTTTTTTTTTACGCTGTTGGACTTTTTGCTCTATTATTTATGATAAAGAAAAAAATGCAACTATCAGAGCCCATAAGGCTATCGCCCCTGTAACTCTTCTGGAAAAGAACTCATGCTGCTTTCTGACTTACATTTTTCATATTTTATCTGGAAAAGACACTTCTCATATTTTACCTGGAAAAGAATTTACTTAACAATACTAAAACTGTATGACCCTTTTTATTCATTTCGTTAGCATCTATTAGATCCAATGTTAAGCAAAAGTATACACCATAATTTAAGCCTTCATCTGCAATATGGAGATTAACTTCATGTATCAGTCATTATTCTTGTGAGTTGTGATGGAGGTCATTGACATTTTTCTTAATTTTGTTTCTTCTTTCTTGGAAGCTGAGGGAATATGTGGATGACACAGAGGATTATATTAACATAATGCTGGATGACAAACAGAACCATCTCCTGCAGATGGGAGTCATGCTGACGACAGCAACGCTTGTCATCAGTGCCTTTATCGTTGTTGCCGGTATCTTTGGCATGAACATCCATATTGAGCTATTTGATGAAAGTAAAGCAGGGATGCCAGAATTTCTATGGACAATTGGAGGTGGTACCACTGGGACGATATTCCTCTATGTGATTGCTATTGCATGGTGCAAGTACAAGCGCTTGTTATAGTAGTGGGGACTAAGCTGCGTATCTTCTAAAGCCATGGATAATACATGAAGTGAAGCATCTCGTGGAAACCTGTGAGGATTTGCTTTTATGTTTGCCTTGTGCGGGCAACACTAATTTGTAATTACATTTAAGTATCCTGTACTTGGTGACCTGTATAAATCTCTTAAATGCTGTTAACGATTTGTGACTCTGATACAATCAACATCACCCTAAAATCTGAATATTCTGGTTCTGTTCTTTGTGCTACCAAAAGTTTCAGAACAAAATAAACGTGTTGTACTGTTCTTGACCTCGCTCATCTTTTTTACTGCCACCTATTTTTCTTGCCAAGGCCATACGAGTAAATTAAAAAAATTGAAAGAAAAAAAAAAGGGGTTGTGAAGACTAGTTCCAATAAATTAATGCATTCTCCACTTACTCTTTTTTCTTTTTCATGCACGGCAGACTAAATTTCAAGTTTATTATAATCCAGTTTTGACAGGTTAATACCATAGAATATCTAACCCAATATATAAAATTGTGTGACTACCTTTTGGTTGAATGATCTTTGATTTAATCCTAGTGAATATAATATCGCTTATAGCAGTTGCAAACAATTATCAGATTGACAATATGTACCGCAATATTCAGATGATAAGATTGGTTTCTATTTTTTCGGGATTGTACTTGGAAAATTATCAGAGTGGTGGCATGTGGTGATGGTATGTCCTCCCACTGTTTAAACAATCCATTTATTTTGCTGATCCCTGTCCTATAGTTCCTGTGATGATGGGATTCATGCTTTATATAATACAACCTTTGCTCTTGATTCTGTAGACTGTAATAAGACTCCATCCTTCTCATTATTAATTCTGGCAGGTTCTCTTAGCATTGAATGTATACAAATTTATTTTAGAGTATATTCATAATTTAATTTTTATTACTTATTACTGGAAATTATGCAGCCAAAACCAAGATTTAATACCTTAAAGAGATTTGCAAACTGGAAGGGAAAAAAGAATAAAATTATTGCATTCTAGAACATAGATTGTGGTGGCAGGAATCGGATATGATAGTGCTCATGCTCACTGATTTGTAGCACATGCATGCAGCTTTATGACATAGCCGATAAGAGACAAGCAGACTGCTGTCGTGGAAAACAGAAACAAGCCTTGTTAAAGCAGCAATGGAGACAGGAACAGAAATTAGATAAGTACTAGAAATAGCGCCATAGCTGCATTCTCCATTGTATGTTACAGGGGATTGAAGGTTTTGTTTTGGTGGTGGTTGGAAGAACAATAGATGTTTTTCCCATGCTTTCGTAGATCCTTGTCCAATATGATGGAATGCAACGAGGCAAAGACTCTAGCATTAGTTTTGGTGGTGGTTGGAAGAACAATAGATGTTTTGATTCTTTCTTTGTAATTTTTTTTTTTACTAACATTGACAACTCTCAATATTGAAGATTAAAATATAAGAAAATACCACGTGGTGGGTAATGGGGATAGATAGATCAGAACTTTTTGACATCCAAAACTCCCCTAGTGCTATCATTTCTTTATCCCTTTCAACATTTTCAGCAGAAACCAAATTATATAATTGTGCATGACATCAAGCTCGATAACAGCTGCAAAGCAGACAGGCTTGGAGGGAGCAAAGCGGCATTAATAAACCATAATAAAAAATATTTTAAAAACAAGAGCCTTCAAAATGAGATAAAAGAGCAAATTATTAAATATAATGGGGCATGTTCCTTCGGGTTTTTAGCATGATCTTCCGGGGCTTAAAAAAGGGTCATGGAGATGCATATGAAATAAATATTCCAACATTAGTTTTGTCGTTTCCCTCCTCATCTCTGAGCTCTGATAAGAATGCCCATTTCCCATTACACTTTCCATCATACTGTTCTCATTCTCAGGTGCATTTTTAGGCCTAATCTTCTGAGTTATGATGAGAAATGAAACTATGGTGGATGGAGCCCTGTCTCGACAATTAGAAACATGGGGGTCTTGTCCTCGTTGATGACCAAGTCCTTTCTATGATTTGATTCAACTACTCACGGTGAAAGTGCTAGCTTTTCAATTTTGATATCGGGGAAATCCCACCTAATCATATCTGAATATCTCATCTTTGCTTGATCATATTCTATTTGAGTATACCGAAGTTAGGCGGATGACTCATCCATTTGCCCTGTTTTCTTGAAAAGAATAATGTTAGAGATTAAACAATATCATTAAAAATGTCAAATACTAGTTCACTTGCATAATAGCGTCCTTGTTATTCAAGTTAATAAATGGTGTCCATTTTAGGTTCAAAAATTTTTTATATAAAGTATACTGTAATCAGGAATAGGAGAACAATTTGTAAGAACTAAAATTTGAACTCCAAATCTATAAGATGTCAAATTTTTAAATTCAAATTTTATCAAACAAGAAAAGACCAATATTTATAAAGATTTACCTCTGCCTGCACAACACGCAAAGGCCGACAGGGCTTGGTCTCTTGATCTCTTATCGTTTATTGCTTGAAATTGTGGATAGGAAGTAGTTTTCGCATCTTCTAAAAGATTAGTAGGAAGCATAATTTATTACAACAGGCATGTGACTTAACTGAGGATGATGGGGACAAAATGAGAGGAATGTCAAAACGTTAGGAAGCATAATGAAGCATTTGATAAAGCTTATACTTTCATCGCAGGCGTAACATCCATATCTAAAAGTGAAAAGCAATGATTTACCAATTTGTAAATTTCCAACTCAGTTTTGCTTTACTGAAGTGAAGTCAGTATCCTAAAGATACGGGACTGAATCTGGGGAAAATGAAGTACTTCTGAATTATGACAATTTGTATATGATATCTAATTTTTGTATAAAATATTATGAGTACACGCATAGTGAATGTTTTTCACGTATGTTCAGATTTTGATAATGTTTGATGGCAGTTTAATTTATTTATATTGGAGTCTTTTTTGTATTTAGTTGAATTTTAAGTGATCAACTACAAGTTGAGATATAAAGATAAAAGGGAGCAAGGGAGATCCATCAAAAACAAAGACTAAACATAATTAGAAGTAGAGGCCGCCCAAAGGCTCAGCTTGTTAGATTTTGAAAAACAAGAAATTTTTATTTTCACTTTTGACCTCAGGCTGTTTCCTATTTCATTGGCCGCCGGTACAAGGGAACTTGGAAATGAAATGAAATGAAAAATAGAAGGAACAAGATCACCTTTAAGATCTGATTCTTTTTTTTTTTTAATATACTTTGGCAACCCTTCTTCCATTTCTTTTTAGAGCCACAAACTCCAGTAGCAGCAAAAGCTGGCTGATATATAGAAACCCTCTCCATTCTCTTTCCTTAGAACCAACTGTCAATTTTGAAACTTCCAAAGGTGATAGTTCAAACTGTAATGAAAGAAGATAATGCTGAATGCTTAAAACATTGTAATTCTGAAATATGGTGCATTGTTAGAAAATAAAGCAAAAAAAAAAAAAAAACTTGGAAGTTACTTAACTGGTTATTTTGTAGCTGGATTCCAGATGGGAAGGACTGAAAAAAACCAAAGTGGCCTTGGAATGCAGGTCCCCCCTGCAATCGTTCCATGGTTATCAACATTTTTCAACCGACAACTGGAACATATAAGTTAATGTTATAGGAAAAACCTGGACCTGGAAATTATGATTAGGCAAGTACCTGAAAGTGTGTTGCAGAGAACACCTGGGGATAACCAAAGACACTCTCCATTGAAGCTTGATTATTGTTGCGAACAAAATTGTTCTGGAAAATTGTCAAGAACCCATGATTAATACCATTAACAATAAGAGAATGATTGAGAGAAGATATCAATGAGGTGAACTAATTACCTTGGAGAAATTGATGAGAGGAGAGCTGGCAGTATCATCAAGAAAAGAAGACAGCTCTTGATCTTCTCGGCGTCTTCCACGTTCCTTGTTTCTGTGTCTTTTACCCCCATTTTTATTCAATGTAGCACCTTTGGATGCGGTATATTGATATTGATTATCATCATTGAAATAACCATTATCTTCATAGAAATGTGGAGGCCCAGAGGATGCATCAGAAACCATGGACAGGTCTTCTTCTTCGACAACATCATCATCAACCACCTCTTCTTTACCTCTATTCTCTCCATGTCCATCACAAAAACGACTCTTCCTCTCATTGAAACCATTACTGTTATGTGAAGGATTTGCAGATACAAAAGATTGTTCAAAGTAATTAGTCCAACCAGAGTCACACCCACTACTACATTCTGGGGCCAAGACATTCATTTTTTCTTTTTTCTCTTTAAAGTTCCTCCTCTAAATAAAAACCCCACCCATAATGTGTGTTTCCTCTATCTCTGGCTCCTTTTTATGTAGAAGAGAAGAACCCCCTCTCCCCTTTCCGATGGTAACTGTTAGTAAAAATACTGAAAATCTAAAATTACTGTTTTTGATAAATTTGAAAATTTGACAAAAAGCTCCAAGACGTATAAGATGTCATCTTTCTTAACGTTTTATTTGTCCCACCTTATTATTTAATTAGTAACTATATAAAAAGATTACAACTAATAAATTTTAAGAATATAATGAAGTTTAATGATTAATTATGTTTTATATTAACGAAATAAGTCTATTAAACATTCATCTTAAACATTCATTGATATATCATAAAATCATTAAATTTTTATAAAAGTTTTTTATAATAAAATTTTTATAAAATAAATCTAGAAATTAAAAAAAAAAAAAGAATTTCAAGAATTATTTTTTGTGTATTTTTAAAAAAAACAAGAAAATTTTATATAAACAGATAAATATTTCATTTTTTTATAGATATAATTATCTATTTTGAATAGATAAAAATTGTTTGTTTTGAATAATTAAAATTGTTTTATTTTGAATAAATTTATTTTTTGTTTTATATAAACTTAATTATTTTTTATCAATTTTGACCGGACTTTAATCATATAAATAAAATAAAATTTTATAAATTTTAAATAAAATAATATTTTATTTTGCACATGTACTAAATGATAAGTGTCATTAATTAAATATTAATATATATATTAATTATTTAATTAATACAAGATTAATCAAACTTGAAAAACCAAATTCATGATCCATTGGTCATTTAAGCCTAAATATTTTGAACTTTTGTTCTTATTAATTTAAATGATTGTTTTATTATTTTTTTAACGTGAGATAATTTTTTATATTTTATTTTAATAATTTCTATCAATAATACTGTAGATGTTGACCGTTGAGGTTATATGCGTCCCTATATTTGGATTCTTGATCGAGTAGGATAGAACTATGGGAGTGGAAAAAGGGCAAGCGAATCAGACTCAAATCCTAGACTAGTTTTGTCCTCATCCGCGATCCGCCCCATACGGCTCTCAACGTGAATGAATGATCAAAAGCGCCAGTAGCGTGGGTTCTAGTGGGTGCATCCAATTAAGAAAGAGAGAGAAGGGAA